TAGTACGAAGGCATAGAGTAAATTACTAATTCAGATACAGGGAAAATTATTAAAGGAATTTTAATGGTTTGAATACAGACCTGTCGCTCTGTCTCATGAAAGCAGTTTACTTTGATTGTCACCTCTGCCCAGGTATAAAGATGAGGCTTTGGTTAGCTTGAGTTTGGCGTCAGATACCGGCAGGAGTCAGTGCCTGCTTCAGATGAGATCAGGGCATCCAGGTGGCAAAGACCTGTAACTTAACAGCACAAGGATTAATAGCACCTGATAAGAAATTTACTTTTTTTTTTTTTTTTTTTTTTTTTTTGAGACAGAGTCTTGCTCTGTTGCCAGGCTGGAGTACAGTGGCACAGTCTCGGCTCACTGCAACCTCTGCCTCCTGAGTTCAAGCAATTCTCCTGCCTCAGCCTCCCAAGTAGCTGGGACTACAGGTGCTCACCACAACACCCAGCTAATTTTTGTATTTTTAGTAGAGACAGGGTTTCACCATGTTGGCCAGGATGGTCTTCATCTTTTGATCTGTGATCCACCTGCCTCAGCCTCCCAAAGTGCTGGGATTATAGGCATGAGCCACTGTGCTCGGCGAAGAACCTTTTTAAGGGGCTAGAGGTGGTGATACCGGAGTTCATGATACTGGAGTTCATGGTCTGATTGAAAGCTGTAAAAAGATTCTATGGCCTTGATCTTATAGTGATTAATTTTTATAGCTTTAATAATCCCCAGCAATAAGACTAAGTCTGAGACATAATTTAAAATTTTGATTTTGAGGATGTTTTTTAAAGATGTTAAAAGGCTCAAAACATGGGATCAAAACAATCATTTCTGATTCATCCTAAACTTCCTTCTTTCCTAAACAATCATTTTATTTTAGAACAAGAATTTACTATACAAGATTCTTTTTTATATAAATTTTTTCCTTTATAAACTTCCTTACCAAAAACACGTCTTTATATCTGTAATTTCTTTACATCTGTCTGCCCTATTTACTGGTTCCTTTCTATTTTGTTTCATAACCATTTTCAAGTACATAATTTGAACTGACTTTGAAAAGAACAAAAACCGGCAGGGTGCGGTTGGATCACTTGAGCTCAGGAATTTGAGACCAACCTGGCCAACATGGTGAAACCCAGTCTCTACTAAAAATACAAAAATTAGCCAGGCATGGTGGCAGGTGCCTGTAATCCCAGCTACTCAGGAGGCTGAGGCAGGAGAATCGCTTGAACCCAGGAGGTAGAGGTTGCGGTGAGCCGAGATGACACCACTGAATTACAGCTTGGTCGACACAGCAATAGTCTATCTCAAAAAAAAAAAAAAATCCTCCTATTGTACAAGACGAGAGACAGGGACCACGGGTAAGATATGGTACGTCACATTAATCACACTTGACTTCTCTCCCTCCTGCTCATCAGAGACGGGACTCTGCTCAGTTTCGTCTCTCCATTTTCTGCAGTTAAATCTTTGGTTTCTTGGTTAGCCACTTCAGCCCGTTTTCCCTTTGCTCCCCTTTTCCCTTTTGTTTGCACTTTTATTTCTGAAGATTTCTCCTTTCCTGCTGCCTTTTTTGGGCTTCGTTTCTACTTTTGCAGGAGCAGGGGTAGCAGACAACTGTGCCAATCCTCCTCTTGGGCTTTTCCTTCACGGCCCCATTGGCTGAGCTGACCTTCCTCTTGGGCATGTTGGTGGTGAGAAGGGTGCCTGCCGGGTGCCTGTGGGCAATGGCGAAACCAGAGCTTTCTGGAAGCTGGGCTCACCAGCTGCTGCTGCTCCTCCCACTGCCCAAGCTGCCGAGACCTGTGGTACAGACATTTTTTCCCTTAAGTTTATAGAGCTATCAGTAGTAGCTCGCTCATTTATTCTGAATACCCCACCTTCCCCTCCTCCATCTGCCACTTTCTTATCTACTGAATTTGATCTTAACTCCTCAAAAAGCTAGCCAAATCTGGGAGAAAGTTGGAACACTTAGGATGGTAAAAGTAATGCTGTTTCAAATGCAACCTTGTATTATTTTACATTAGAAACAAATTGGAAAAGAATAAAAAAAGAGTCTCACTCTGTTGCCCAGGCTAGAGTGCAATGGCATGATCTCGGCTCACTGCAACCTCTGCCTCCTGGGTTCAAGTAATTCTCCTGCCTCAGCTTCCCACAAGCAGCTGGGATTACGGGCATCTGTCGCCATGCCTGGCTAATTTTTGTATTTTTGGTAGAGACAAGGATTCACCATGTTGACCAGGCTGGTCTTGAACTCCTGAGCCTCAGGTGATCTGCCTGCCTTGGCCTCCCAAAGTGCTGGGATTACAGGCCTGAGCCACCGTGCCTGGCCAAGGGACTTTTACTTGAACATTTCTAAATTCCTATAATATTTAAATTCAAATAAATGTCTTACTTTTGTAAGAAAAACTAATTTTTATGAAAAGGAAACTGGTAATTATCTTGTGGAAATAAAAATTATCTATAGTCCTCCTTATTTTGATGTGAGGCAAAATATCCCTATATCCGTATTTTATATATTTTCCATTAATTTTATTATGTATTTATGTATTTATAGACCAAGTCTCTCTCTGTCACCCAGGCTGGAGTGTAGTCGTGTGATCATAGCCTCACTGCAAACGTGACTTCCTGAGCTCAAAGAATCCTCCTGCCTCAGCTTCCCAAGTAGCTGAGACCAGAGACATGTGCCACTACACCCATCTAATATTTTGTGGAGATGAGGTCTTGCTATGTTTCTCAGAATGGTCTCAAACTCTTAGGCTCCAGTGATCCTCCTGCCTCAGAATCCCAAAGTGTTGGGATTATCAGTGTGAGCCACTATGCCCAGCCTGTATTTGATTTTTTATTTACTTAGCAAACCAGTATTTTGTACTTTCTTTTTCTACTATGAAAAAAAAAAAAAATCTACTCTCTAACCTATAAGGGGGGTGAAAACCTATTTGCAATGTGAAGTAGGCCATTTGAGATTGAAATCTAACTATGAGAAGTTGAGGGGGAATAACCTACTTAAAATAATATTGCTTAACTTTACACAGAAAGGGCAAGTTGGTACCAGGACGTAAGTTAATATAAGGAACAGGAAGACACCACACAAATAACCAATTTTAAAATGATCTCTTCATTTTTAATTTCTTAAAAAGCACATTCATAGCACACTCCAAGAATGCCATACAGCAGTGGTTTGCTGCTCTTTGTCAGAATATGTCAGAAAACAAAAAAAAGTTCTAAATGCTAATGGTTTTAAAAATTAGATCTCTGAAATTTCTGTAAAGCCAATATCACCAGTCATCTAAATCTTTATTTTGGAATAATAAACCTTCCAAAAATGTAATGAGCATCTACCCAAAATCACACTTCACTGAAATGCAATTAAAAGCTATCCAACAAAAACAAAAACAAATATTTTTCTAGAAAGAACATATTTGGCATTTTAACATAATGTTAAAAACAGCTTTCAACTGTAAAGGATGTCTAGATTTTTACTTTCTATTACCAGACAGAAAGTTTGGATCTTTAGTGGTTCCAATCTGATTTCAGTAATAGGAGGAATGATTACACTGAAGTTAATGAACTTCAGTCCTAACAAAGCTAATAAACTTTCCTAGTACAGTGATTGCTTTTTTAAAAGTAGTGTCCAGGCCGGGCGCGGTGGCTCAAGCCTGTAATCCCAGCACTTTGGGAGGCCGAGGCGGGTGGATCACGAGGTCGAGAGATCGAGACCATCCTGGTCAACATGGTGAAACCCCGTCTCTACTAAAAGTACAAAAAATTAGCTGGGCATGGTGGCGCATGCCTGTAATCCCAGCTACTCAGGAGGCTGAGGCAGGAGAATTGCCTGAACCCAGGAGGCGGAGGTTGCGGTGAGCCGAGATCGCGCCATTGCACTCCAGCCTGGGAAAAAAGAGCGAAACTCCGTCTCAAAAAAAAAAAAAAAAAAAAAAAAAAAAAAAAGTAGTGTCCAGCCTGTACTAAAAACTATTAAAAGTAAGGCCAGATAGCTCAAATTAGTTGGTTAATTTGGTATCCAAATTGGTTTTTTTTTTTTTTTTTTTTTTGGAGACAGAGTCTCACTCTGTCACCCAGGCTGTAGTGCAGTGGCATGATCTCGGCTCAATGCAACCTCCGCTTCCCAGGTTCAAGCAATTCTCCTGTCTCAGCCTCCTGAGAAGCTGGAATTATAGGCAAGTGCCACCACACCCAGCTAATTTTTGTATTTTTAGTAGAGACAGGGTTTCACCATGTTGCCCAGGCTGATCTTGAACTACTGATCTCAAGTGATCTGCCCGCCTTAACCTCCCAAAGTGCTGGGATTACAGGTGTGGTCCACCACTCCTGGCTCCTAAATTGTTTTATACATAGTTTTCATCCTCTGATTATTTAGTATTTCTAATTAATTTGCTATATTTCTCTGAAAAATCAATCAAGTACACAGTTTTAGTGAAATGTAAACTAAATTTTGCTTCATTAACTAAAATACGTCAAACATGGTTAAATCTTATATTCTGTCCTTCCAAATAATTTACATTTTTATGGTAAATGTAGATCAGCCACACCATGAGTTATATCCTAATCATTTTACCTAAATGTAGAAAAACTGAAAGCTAACTGGATAGTTAAAAAGCTGTTATATATTTATCTCTTTCAGAAACCTATGATGCATTTTCTTAGATATAAGTATGGAAAAAGAATTCTGTTCATGATATATCAACAAAAATTACATTGCTTATGTCTATTTCTGTCAGCCATTCTGAAACCAAATTTCCATTTGTTCTACCCAATAAAGAACATATATTTTCCTTTAGAATAATGGTCACAGTCTGGAAACGTAATTGAGAAAGGCTAATTCTGGGCCAATAAAATCTTCAAGGAAAGACTCAACACTAAACAGGGAGGTGAATAAAGCAAATATGTTGTAATGAGACCCTCCCTTGTAAACACATCTGTCCTTTCCTCCCATATTTGGAAATGTTACCTAAGTTTAAAAAATTAATCAAGACATTTTATACCACAAGTCACATAAAATAAGGTCTATTTCAGCCAGATAACCAATAGCTGTTAAAGAATTATATTTTCCTGTTTATAAGATGAGAGGTAGTGACATTTTATTCTCTCAATGCTGAGCTAAAAATTCCACACATCTGGCACATGGGTTACAAGGGGGGAAAAGCACATAAGCACCATTGTCCACTCCTCATGTTTTGGTATTTCGGGTCACCCATAACTTCATTTGCTATTGGCAGCTGACAATCACTGGTGTGTGTGTTAACAGTGAAGCAGTGGGTATCAGTGCTATTCATCATATGGTACTGGTGGGTCTCCATCATCTTTCAAAAACGAAGCAGCTTTCCTTCCATTCTTCTGAACGTGATCTTCATTCATTTTCTCCAAAGCTTCTATCTACAAAATTAATACATTGAATCCATTTGTCAAAATCCAACTTTTCACAGAAGCCATATTTTAGATTGTGCTAGTAATTTTTTTTTTTTTTTTTTGAGTCTATGTTGCCCAGGCTGGTCTAAAACTCCTGGGCTCAAGAGATCCTCCCACCTTGGCCTCCCAAAGTGTTGGGATAACAAGAGTAAGCCACCATGCCTGGCTGGGCCAGTAATTTTTACTCTCTTACACACTAGGTTATTCCTAATGATTGCTTGAGTTGAAATTACTATATACGTGTGTGTACGTGTGTGTGTGTGTGTGTGTGTGTGCACGTGTATACATATAGTCGTATGTATGTATCTTTTTTACTTGATTATATTACAAGGGTCAAAATTAACTATCTATCCAACTAGCAATTGGAATCAGCTATGATTTAAAATGTATTCTATAAAACATTCAGGAAACAGGAAAAAGAAAATTCTACCATTCATCAAATAACAGTATCACTTACTTACTTACTGATTAACTGTATTGTGCTGGAGGCTGAATTTACCACCTTTCTGTTATTTCTTTCTAGCCTTAGTTGCCAGCACAGCTTAACCAAACTCAAGTCCTCCTAGGGAGTTCTGGAACAGACTCAGCAATCCCTCTCTGCTTTGGTATAATGTTGGGAATAATTAACTGCTATTTCACCTTTCAGATTTTGTTTATTTTTAAGAGACTTTCTCTGGAGAAAGCTTTTTCATGGTTCTCTAGATCTGATATTATAATAACTGAGTAGTTCCAAGGATGGCCACTTCTAACTTTCTATGTTCAGTAAAGGGCAGGGACCACATGTTACTGCTTTTTGTATCATCTTCCTCATTCATTAAATAAGGGAAATAGGAGTCTACTGGAAACATGCAGTTTGCCCATCTTAACCAAATGGTGCCCTCTTCGAATAAATGTTTTGCTGTGTGTGTATTCTGAATTTTAAGTATAAAAAAAAAACAAAAACAGGCCAGGTGCAGTGGCTCACACTTGTAATCCCAGCACTTTGGGAGGCTGAGGTGGGCAGATCTCTTGAGGCCAGTAGTTCAAGACCAGCCTGGCCAACATGGCAAAACCCCAGTCTACCAAAAAGACAAAAATTAGCCAAGCATGGTGGCACACACACGTAATCCCAGCTACTCGGGAGGCTGACTCAGGAAAATCACTTGAACCCGAGAGATGGAGGTTGCAGTGAGCCGAGATCACGCCACTGCATTCCAGCCTGGGTGACAAAACAAGACTCAAAACAAAAAAAGAAAGAAAGAATGAAAACAAAAACATCTCAAGGAAAGAAAAATCTCAAATTAATTTCATTTTGGGGGAAAGGGCGGATAAAACTAGCTCTGCATTTCAGTTATCTCCTGTACGCAGTTCTGCATGACCAGCAAGGTGAAAAACAGCTGTTTCTCACATACCTCAGCTAAAAAATCAGCTTCATTATCTGCTGAGATGTTTAAGCCTGAAACAGCATTGAAGAGTTCTCGTTCACTAAGGGCTTCCTTGACTCCTCCTTTCTGGAAAAACTAGTACAGAAATACAAGAACGTCAGTAAGAAGTACTAGCAAGGTTCTCTTTAAACTAAAAACAGAAGAAGTATATTTATAAAAAGACACCACTACATTCCTTCCATCATTTTTCAACCATCAATTTTCCTAATTCCAAGCTGGACTATTTTCAGGTTCTAGTTGCTTTTCATCCTCTCACATATCCACTCTGCCTTCTGAATTTAGTTCATCCCACTGTACCTCCTATAGCTATAAAAATGAGTGGTATATATAAAACCACTTGGCATTGCTTTGAATATGTAAAGAGAATGCTTTCACTAAACTCCATGAATTAAAAATTTCAAGCAGGCCCAGAGGTTATGTCCAATATGAAGCTACTCTATGCTTTAGACAGATCTTTCCTACCCAAATCTACTGCCAACAATTCATTTCCCTTAGAAATGCCAAACAAGTATTACCCAACCCTGTGCTTACCGACTTTTACCTTCCCCAATATACATATATATACACACACATTTATATATATATATATATATATGCATATATATATAAAATAAACTAACCTTTTAGTTATTATCTACCTAATCTTTTTACCCTGCTTCATAGTGGCAGTCATCAGACACTGTCCCACAATGGAGTCTGTCCCTCTTTTAATGGTAACAATGGCAGCAAGCATGCAGGCACACTATATACCAGCTTCTGTTTAACCACTATGCACACATTAAATGTCTACTTGACTGCTTAAATATAAGGAGCCAAAACACTCACTTCTTCCTTGACCTTTTTTTTTTTTCTGAGATGGAGTCTTGCTGTTGCCCAGGCTAGCTGGAGTGCAATGGCACGTTCTTGGCTCAATGCAACCTCTGCCTCCCAAGTTCAAGCGTGTCTCTTGCCTCAGCCTCCCGAGTAACTGGGATTACAGGCACCTGCCACCATGCCAGGCTAATTTTGTATTTTTAGTAGAGATGAGGCTTCACCACATTGGCCAGGCTGTTCTTGAACTCCTGACATCAAGTGATCCACCCACCTTGGCCTCCCAAAGTGCTGAAATTACAGGTGTGAGCCACCATGCCTCGAATATTTTACCTAACTGTAAGACATGGAATCAAATTCTTGCAAAAATGAAATTTGACAAATTGATCTTTATATCCTTGTCCTTGTCCTGAAAGCAGCCAGTATCCCTTCCTTCAATTTCTAAGAATATGGTCCTCTTACTTATCTTAGGAATGAGAATATATCTGCAGCTGTTACAGCCAACAAAAAAAGGCATATTGATTTACACATTTACCTGCGAGACATTCCTGCAGTCCCGGAACAAGAACTCCAGGCCATGAGGATGGGTAGGTTCCACTGACTGACTGACATCAATCAACCAGACCTATTTCAATACAGAACACAGACTCACATATTTACATTTAAAAATTTACTTAAAGTAATTAAATCTGAAGATTAACCAAATGTTCTCCTCACCTTTCCAGCATGCCACAGCATGTTGTACTCACTGAGGTCAGCATGGACAAGTGTACATTCATTATATAACTGCCGCATCAACTGTGAAGAGGAAAGGCTCACATTAGGAAATGAATAAACTAGTTGGCATTATATAGTTATATTATTGATGATGACACACCCCCACTCTTATAGTAGAAATCAACATTAATGCATTTGTTTGCCAGCCTTAACAGTATTAAATAGGAAAGGTTCATCACTATTTCATCTCTTCCCCAGAGACCCCCACCTCCCAGAGGCCAGAAAAACATATGTGATTATCCTTCCAATGTTCTCCTTTGGAGGCAAACTGGATCACCCTTCTGGTTATAAGTTTAAAAATTAATTTGGATTAACATTTCCATATTTACACCAACTGCTGCGTTACATGACGGCTTCATGCAGAGACTGCATAAAGCAGCACATTAAGTTTCTCCGAAAACACAGAGGGATAATGGCAGTATTAGGAGTATTTTCTCAACCTAGAAGGTCCTCAGATTGAATTCAGTTGCTATTTCGAAGCATGTAGTTTCCTCAAGATTCCCGACACATGCCTTCCAACTTAACATCTGCATTCCCTACTATTTTCAGTTTCCATCATCACATTCTTATGATGAGACCAAACCTGTTTCCTTTCCTTCACTGTTAAAGCTATTAACATTCAATGGCCGAGTGCAGTGGCTCACACCAGTAATCCTAGCACTCTGGGAGGCTTGAACCCAGGAGTTCGAAACCAGCCTGGGCAACATTGTGAGACCCTGCCTCTTATTTGAAAACAAAAACAAATACAAAACACCATAACATTCAAGAAAGTGCACAAACTAATGCGGCACTTTATCTGCTAAATGTAGTAACAGCAAATTTTATTTAATGAAGTTTTCTGAAAAATAGCTTCATGTACTATGTCACTAATCCTAGCAATAAAGACTTCCCTGGTTAAGTCTGTGAGTTTTCTAAAATTATTTAAGACACACACATATTAAAATAAAAACAGCTCTTCAGTGTTAACATTCCTTCACAAACTTCTTGTTTTTGTTACAGCACCTTGAAATAGCACTATTTTAGGAACTTTTTTTTTTTTTTTTTTTTTTTTTAAAGAGATAGGGTCTTGCTCTATATCTTGCCCAAGCTGGAATGCAGTGGCACAATTATAGCTCACTGCTGCCTTAAATTCCTGGGTGCAAGTGATCCTCCCACCTTAGACTCCTGAGTAGCTGGGACTACAGGTGTGTGCCACCATGCACAGCTAATTTTTAATGTTTTAAAACAGAGTCTTGCTTTGTCGCCCAAGCTGGAGTGCAGTGGCATGATCTCGGCTCACTACTGCAACCTCCACCTCCCTGGTTCAAGCAATTCCCCTGCCTCAGCCTGGGATTACAAGTGCATGCCACCACAACCAGCTATTATTTCTGTATTTTTAGTAGCGAAGAGGTTTCACCATGTTGCCCAGACTGGTCTCAAACTCCTGGGCTTGAGTGATCCTCCTGCCTCAGACTCCCAAAGTTTTAGATTACAGGCGTGAGCCACCATGCCTGACTTCCTTAAGGAAATTTTTTTAAAGTTTAGAGGAAATATTTTTTAAAGGCAGTGCGTAAATGCTTTTAGAAGGACAACTTACATGAAGAGTTTGATAGTAGGCTTCTTTCATTTCTTCACTATTGAGTTTTACTTCTTTTAATTTAGGAGCTGGAACTTGATCATGGCCAATAAAAGACATAACTAAAATGTGTTTCTTGAGTAGTACAACTGTTGGACAAGGTATTCCAGCTCTCTGCATTCTATACAGAAAGAAATGATTAATAATGTACAAATCAGAAGGAGAAAAGATGTCATTTATTCAATAAATATCTAATCAGGGCCTGCAATGAGCTGGCACTATCTTCTACCCTGGTGGTGTAGGAAGACAAAGACAATAAAACACAGCCTCTGCCTGTAGGGAGCTCCTGGACTGACGGAAGTGACAGACAAGGAAAGAGACAAGTACAGTGCAGCGTGACATATGCACTGGCAGAGGTATGGGTAGGAGCTACAGGAGCATAGCACCAAGGATGGCTTATTAGAAGAAGAGGTGGGGAGCAGGAATTAGCCAGATGAAGACAGTGCAAGGAAATGCAGGGAGGTGTTCCAAGAGCACAGTCCATCTGGGGAATGTATATCAATCAACATAGCTGGGTCTGTGAGTAGGAGGCAGCGCAACGTGGGCTGAGGCCACAGAGACAGGCAAGCTCCACTACAGAAAACTGTTAAAGAATTTTAAGAAAGGCAGGAATCTCAGCAGTATAGAAAAGAGATTGGAGGACAGCAAGACTTTCTAGACAATGATTCTACCTGGAATTTATTTTTTTTTATTTTTATTTTTTGAGACAAGGTCTCACTATTGTTTCTTGGGCTGGTTTTGAACTCCTAGGTTCAAGCAATCCTCCCATCTCACCCTCCCAAGTAGCTGGGAGTAAATGTGCATACCATGCCTGGCTTTTTAAATAAGGAACTCTCAGTAGAGGAATTTTATAACTAATATATTTAAGTAATTACTTTTGAAAGCAAATATCTTTAGAAAAGAACAAACTAAAATTAAGCTTTCAAAAGATTAAGATAATGGAAAGGTTTTTAATGAAAAGGATTATTACTGAATTTCTTGGTTGATAAATTATCTGACAGAAAATAAATTATTTAGAAAATTCAGATACAAGTATAAAAATTAAAACAAAATGTAATTTGATTGGTAAGAACTTACTCCCACAAAAATAAACTAAATGTAATAAACATTTTCTAAAACAAAAAAGAAGCCTTTTTTTTAATATGAAGCCTAACTGGATGCTGGAAGTTTTACTTCTTAATAAAAGCAATTTAAAAATGGCATTTAGATACGTGATAAAATGTCTAAGGCAGAGAATGCCCCAATTTCCCTCAAGCTTTATTGAGGAAAGAAAAAAGAAAATGGCTTTTTCATCCTAAAAGTATGAATTGAGGTTATACACCTGGCCTTTCATTATTTCCACAAATGAATTTAAAAGCAAGCATGGATTTTTTTATCCTAATGCAAAAAGGTATTTACCCAAGATTATGTCTAGCACAATATTTTCTTTACCTTGTGAGATTGTGCATTTCTTTTTCTGCCCACATGCGGATGATCTTACGTGGATTTAGTTTACTGAAGCGATCTTTAAACCTGAAATCATCTTTAATATATTTGTCACGATTCTTAAACTCATTAAGGGTTGTTTTAAATACCTTGATGGCACATTCTGTAGGTATAACTTTACTATCTTCCTTTTCATCCTCCATGCTAAGTGAAAGAAAAAAAATAAGTCAGTATGTTAAGTTGACAGCTCACAAGAACAATTTCAAAATAAAGATTCTGTAACACTAAATTAGATCTACCTTCTCTCAGTGTCAAGTCTGGCTTTTTAAAGTTAGGTTTTGGATCTTAATAAAGCCTTAGGTTTTGGTTTGACTTTTTAAATAAAACATACTTAAATTGTCAACCAATTTTCAACCATCCGTAACATAATGTTCTTTACTTAATGACTATGGAATCAAGCTTGAGACACAATGAAGACACACACACTTGAAAATAGGCTACAGTCTCTCTGATATGTTCAGGAGCAAAATTCACTAAAAGCCTAAATAAAACAGCTTTTAAAAAAGTAACTCTTTCACTCCTAGCAGACATAAATGTGAGTAAAAGGGTTCCTGCTCCACGAGTCTACAAGAAGTAGCAGCAGAGAATCAAAGAAGTACATGAATAGGAAAGTTCCCTTTTCACTGGAAAGGTTAGGCAAGACTTCATGGCACAAGTGCCATCTGAAACAGAAACAGGACAATGGGTAGGATTTGAACAGCATGAACAAAAGCAGAGGCAGGAAACCACAGGACATGTCTGACGAACAACAAACACTACAGTTAAGGCTTGGCTGGAGAGAGAATGAAAAAAGTTGGAGCCAAAGGATGGGACAGAGGTACATCTGTGAAGAGCCTAGACAAACTGCTGGAGGTGGTGGGGAATTGTGAGGGCTTCTGAGTGTGGCTCTCTCAAATGCACACTTCATGAAGATCAAAAGAATTATACTGTCAGCATGGAAAGGCTCAGGGAGAGGCCACAGGTGTGGGGTCGACTCAGGATGCTATGGCAATAGTCCCCCAGTAGTGAGCTTCAGTCTTGATGGTTGGCAGTGGGAATGAAAAGGTGGATGGAATGAGAAACAATACTAATATTTACCTTTAGATATCTGATAGGATCTTAATCTGGGAAAGAAAGGAACTGTATTTCCAAAGGACAGAATCTGAATCAAACTACCCACCTCCTTCTGTACCACATTCTCCCAGCTGATTCCTCCTCTCCCATTTAGTCTCAAAAGGTTAAAGTCCTTCACCTGGTTCTAGGAAACCTCCCTTCTCTTCCTGGGCAATTTCATTTAGCCCCATGGCTCTAAATATCATCTCGATACAGATAACTCCCACATTTCTATCCCAGTCCTGACTTTCCCTAGAACTTCAGGCCCATTTATCCAACTCCTATATGTCACCGCCTAGAAGTCTACCAGGCATCTCAAATTTAACATGCCAAAACAAACTCATGCTGAGTTCTCACTCCAGCCTTCCCCAGGCTCTCACCTCATTAAATGGCACCACTGTCAGCTGCTCTGGCCCCAGTCTATCCTTACACCCACATCCAATCCAACAGCATGTGCTGTTCCCTCTACCTTCAAAACACACACCAGTGCTCTCCTACTCTTCACTTCCACTGCCACTCTTCTTGGTCCAAACCTTCACCATTTCTCACTTATACTATAACGTTTTAACTGATCTTACTGCTTCTTCTCTTCTCCTCCTATAATTCATTTACCACACAGCAATCTTTTGAAAATAAGAATCAACTCATAGCTTTGATTCCCAGAGCAGTTAAAGAGCAGACTCCTTACCCTGGCCTAATCAATCCTACCCGGTCCAGCCTGTGCTTACTCCTCCAGCCCCATCACCTGTTCACATCCTAGCTCCAGGCAGACTGGGTTTCCTACGCTCGCTCAAAGATACTTTGTACCTGTCCTAAGGCATTAGCACTAGCTGTTCTCTAGTTCGAAATGCCCATCCACCTGATCTTTGATGTATCCTAGATGTGTCATTTACATGTCACTTCATTGGAGAAGGAGAAGCCTTCCATGTCCTACCAATAAAGCTAGCCAGCCTGTTACTATGACATCATCCTAACTATCTGCATAGCACATATCTGATATTTTTTGTTTATTATTGTCATGGAGGAGGGTTGAGGACAGGGGGAAGCACATTCTATTATGGTAGAGACCTTACTTGTACCATTCGTTGTTGTGTTCCTAGTACCTAGAAGAGTACCTGGAACATGACAGCTGCTCAACTATTTGGTTAACAGATGACACAGTTTTCAGGGAGACAGATTAGAGACTCTATTCAGAGAAGAAATCTCTAATAACTTAAAAGACATTATGACAGAATAGGCTAGATTTTGAGATAAGCTCCTTGTCATTGGACTAGTTTAACCACATAGGTGAGGCCTTGGCAAAAATACCATACAAGAGATTACTTATTTGGACTCTAGGATCAAATCCAATTTATAAGATTTATCTTGTCGTTCTCCTACTACAAAAATATCCTGTTTCTTAGCAAATAACACATCCCTCTGCCTAGTTTTTAAGGTCCTCCTCATCAATTTCCAGTTTCCTTACACAGCTTTACTACCTACTACCCTCTAAACATATACCTTCTTAATTTTCTCAGTGCCTAAACGTCAACCCTCCCACCCTTAGCCTTTTTTTAGAAAATGTTTTTTAATATTTTATCTTCTTTGCAGTTATAACATAATTCACTTCAACAATCACAGAATCCTTTTTTTCCAATGCCACAAACTCTGTTACAAATGAAAGCTGGGCCTTTTTCTTAAAGAATGAAACATTACAGATGACGCTGAAGTTCCCTCTGATTACCATTCCCCATCTCAACTCACCAAAGGCAATAACTATCATAAATGCTATATTTCTAGCATTTCTAGTCTCTTTCATAAGTATCGACAAGCATCTATAAAGTAAATATCTATGTAATTTTCTGTATGACTTAAAAATTTAAATAGATGATAAACTATATGTATATTCTGCAACTAGATTTTTATACTCAACACTGGATTTTTTTTTTTAAACACATTTTAAAAATCCAGACTGAGATCCAATTTCACTGGTATCTTCCCTGAATGTATCTGGCAATTATTGTGTTAATTTTCTATTCCCATCCCATATGAGGTCCCATTTGTATAACTGTGCACTCTATTATATAATTATCTTTCATTGACCATAATGGTTCTTACTGTAATGTTCTTCTTTTCACTAAAGCTTAAGCTCTTTGAGAGTAAGAGACATGTCTTATATTTTATTCCCAGATTAGCACAAATTACTGTTTGAATAATTGTTGATTGCCTGACCAACCTGAGAGTGATAGAAACCAGAGCTTTGGGCTGGGGACAGTGGATCACGCCTGTAATCCCATCACTGTGGGAGGCTGAGGCGGGCAGATCATGAGATCAGGAGTTTGAGATCAGCCTGGCCAACAGGGTGAAATTAAACCCTGCCTCTACTAAAAATACAAAAATTAGCCAGGTGGTAGGAGCCTGTAATCCCAGCTACTCAGGAGGCTGAGGCAGGAGAATCCTGAGAACCTGGGAAATCAGGTTGCAGTAGACCGAGATCATGCCACTGCACTCCAGCTTGGGCGACAAAGCAAGACTTGATCTCAGAAAAAAAGTAAGAGGAAAAGAAGCTTATACTGTTGGCAGCTGTATACATTGGTGAACCTTCTTATAAGGCAATTAGGCAATATCTACCAACATTCAGAATGTACACAACCTGCATATCTGACTAGTTAGTAAGGAAAATTACATTTCCTCTATTTAAAGATAAACACAAATTTAAAATGTTGGCCTTTAGGATGACATACAAGAAAAAGTTTTCCAAATTTTAAAGCAATTTTTAAGTAAAAAAAAAAAAATCAGGAAATATGCTTGCTATAATAACCAGCTCAGGGGCCCAAATAGTGAGCAAAATCAAATACTCTCCATTCATTGATGCCTTCCACTATTTAACAAAAAGGGTAAAAATGCATACTAGTCTTCGCCCCAGCAATTTCATTGTTAGAACCTTAGCTAAAGGATATGTTTGCAAAAGCATACCAAGATATATGTATGATGATATTCCCATAAAGGAATTTACACAATGGAATGTACTATTTTTAAAATGGGTGTGGCATAAGCTAGAATATAGATTACGTAAGATCCTGAATGTAGAATATAATCTCTTTTGTATAAACAAAATAAAAAATATATGGTAAAAAAAATTTCTGGAAGACTAAAACCTGTGTACAGCAGTTACCTCAGTAGAAAAGACCTATGGGGTGAGGATAGGCAATATGAAAGCTGCTTTTCATTTAATTTGTTTCTGTAGTGTTAATTTACCACCATGAGTAATCTCTCATTTTAAAATAACCTGTACCATTTAAAAATATTTGCCTGGTCTTTGAACCTTCATTGGAGATTTGCAAAGAGAAAAAGAAAGCTTAACATAAGGAAGAAATAAATGATCATTAAGGTCATTACCAGGTATTATCAAATATGATCTCTTTTACCCCCCCAAAAATCCTAGAAGGTGAAATTCAGTTTTTAAATGAGTTTTAGTAACTTGTTCCAGATAGCTTGAAAAATGTAAGCTCAAATGTTAAGTTTTGTCCTAACATTCATTTTAATCCTATTCATTTTGGGACTTAACAGTATAATTTGATATATAACCATAAGTATATGTCTTATCTAAAAAGAAAGCCTAGTAAAGTAGTTAAGAAAACTAAAGAAAAGAAGTTGACCAATAAACACTTAAATCCTCTTAAGTACACAATAAATAACTTCTAAACTTAAAAAAAACTGGAACAATTTCTGTAATCTATCTTAACATTTTTGTAAATGGTGTTAAGATAAAGGAATAGCTGAGATGGTGCCTTGCAGGTTGGGTTCAATGGTAAGTAACCAGATGATCTAATGTTCCTGGCTTAAGGACATTCCCTAAACAGGCTCCACTTAAAAAAGATTTCCCTTCCCATGTCGTTCTTCACCTAAGCCCTTGTGACAAGAATAAGGTGTTTAAAATGTAAAATGGCATAAAATCATCAAATAAGAAATTTTTTACAATGCTTGCATTATAAAATGAGTTTTGGGTCAAACCCAGGTCCAGGTTCAAATTTTGCTTTGCCCCATACACTTTCCTGTATAATATAGTATAATTACAACAGTGTAGAAAATAATATACGCGGCTGGACATGGTGGCTCACGCCTGTAATCCCAGCACTTTGGGAGGCAGAGGCGGGTGGATCACCTGAGTCAGGAGTTTGAGACCAGCGTGACCAATATGATGAAACCCCATCTCTACTAAAAAAAATACAAAAATTAGCCGGGCATGGTGGCATACACCTGTAATCCCAGCTACTCAGGAGGCTGAGAAAGAAGAATCACTTGAACCTGGGAAGTAGAGGTTGCAGTGAGCCGAGATTCCGTCATTGCACTCCAGCCTGGGCAACAAGAGTGAAAATTCATTTCAAAAAAGAAAAAAAAGAAAGAAAAAAAGAAAATAATATATGCACTAAAAAAACTGGATGAGTCTACCCAAAATTATTAATGATTATCTCTGTGTGGTAGTAACAGGATGTGTTTTTCTTTATATGTTCCTATACTACCTAGACTTTCTATAGTTAACACTTTAAAAATTAAAATTACTCTGCTTGCCATGCAGCATTATCTGATTCTCTGTAAATCCATTAATCTTGAGAAGAGAATAAGCTTTTTTTCATGATGGTATCATATTTTGCTCATTTACCTCCCTCCATACGCATGAAAGACAACAGATTCCTTTCCTGTACTAATACAGCCAGTGATTGTCTCCAACATTCCAGAGTTCACCATTTTATACATAAGTAAACGTGTCTTAGGATCAACTGCTTTTTCCTGCAAGAGATAAAGCACTGTAAGTGAAAATAACTGCTAATCACAAAACACTTTCTTAGCCACTTCAAATATTTTTTTTTGAGATGGAGTCTTGCTCTTGTTGCCCAGGCTAGAGTGCAATGGCACAATTTTAGCTCACTGTAAACTCCACCTCCCGGTTCAAACAATTCTTCTGCTTCAGCCTCCTGAGTAGCTGGTATTACAGGTGCCTGCCACCATGCCTGGCTAATTTTTGTATTTTTAGTAGAGATGGGATTTTTACCATGTTGGCCAGGCTGGTCTTGAACTCCGGACCTCTTGATCCACCTGCCTCAGTCTCCTAAAGTGCTGGGATTATAGGCATGAGCCACCAAGCCCAGCCTAATATCTTTTTTTTAGAGAGAGAGACAGGGTCTCACTCTGTTGTCCAGGATGGAATGCAGTGACACGATTATGGCTCACTGCAGCATCAAATTCCTGGACTCAAGTTCAAGTGATCCTCCCACCTCAGCCTCCTGAGTAGCTGGGACTACAGGTGCATACCACCATGCTGGATGCCCAGCTAATTTTTACTCTTTTTGCAGAGACAAGGTCTCTCAGGGTTTCCCAATGTTGCCCAGGCTGGCCTCGAACTCCTGGGCTCAAGCAATCCTTCCACCTGGCCTCTCAAAGTGCTGGGAGCCACATCACCTGGCTTATTTACATCTCTTTTTTTTTTTTTTTTTTTTGAGTCAGGGTCTTCCTCTGTTACCCAGTCTACAGGACAGTGGTACAAACATGGTTCACTGCAGCCTTGACTTCTCGGGCTCGAGCGATCCTCTCACCTCAGCCTCCCAAGTAACTGGGACCACAGGTGTGTGCCACAATGCCCAGCTAATTTTTTTCGTAGAGCTGGGGGTCATTATGTTGCCTGGGCTATTCTCTCACTCCTTGGCTCAAGTAATCCTCCTGTCTCTGTCTCCCAAAGTAGTGGGATTACAGGTGGGTGCCATAGTGCCTGGCTTTATTTACATCTTTAATTTGAAAAGCCAATCTCATAAAAAATATCAAACATGAAGTTTTTTTTCTTCCCCCAAGTTTTCAAATATGAATCTTCCTAGTAAAAAAGAAAAAAAAAATGTATAAATCCTTACTGCTGTTGAATGCTCCTTTTTTTCGTGTAGGCGGGCACTTCGACGTTCTTCTGAGTAGGCATGTTGTTTTAAAGCATTGAAAACATGGTTTGATAGTTTTAAATCCATTCCAATTCCATCCCCTACCTGAAACTCAGGTGCAAACTGCCAAAAAGAAGAATTAGCCTCTAAATACTTTAAAATAGGGACAGTAAAACAACAAAACAAAAGTAACAAATGAGTAGTCTTTAATTAATTTCTTACTCAACAGATGATCATACTAGAAAAGCAGAACTCATAGCTACTATAGAGAAAAAATTAATTAACTCATAGAAAGAGGAGCAATATTATTTAAGAAATTACAACCCAAAGGAAGGCATTTATTCTATGCATAGAAAACATCTCATCACATCCAAAACTAAGGCACAACTTTTGGCATATGAGTTGTACCTTGCTTTTAGCCAAAGGACAAAATATTGTACTGTGAAGGCTACACCACATCTTACCAAATACAATTTTGTAATTATTTGTGAAGAGTGGGTTGTTACAGCAAACTATGTCCACACTGTGACAATTAACGTTCTGGAACTGTGCAATTCAGTTAGGTAGCCACTAGCCACATTTGGATATTTAAATTAATTAAATTAAAAATTCGGTTCCTCCATTACACCACCCAAATTTCAAGTCCTCAGTAGCAAATGTGGCTACCATATTGAACAATGCACATATAGAACATTTCTATTACCACAGAAAGTGCTATTGGACAGAACTGTTCTAGAATCAGACTTGGAATATTTCTAGAAATGATATCATTGAATATGTTTACTTAACAAACATTTGTGTTTTAAAATTTAAATATTTCTTATGTCAACCATGATATTTATAAAGGATTTAGAATGCTATGTATATGTTTTTTGAGACGGAGTCTCGCTCTGTCACCCAGACTGGAGTGTGATGGTTTGGTCTCAGCTCACTACAACCTCCGCCTCCTGGGTTCAAGCAATTCTCCTGCCTCAGCCTTCAGAGCAGCTGGGATCACAGGCATGTACCACTATGCTCTGGTAATTTTTTGTATGTTTAGTAGAAATGGGGTTTCACCATGTTAGCCAGGCTGGTCTTGAACTCCTGACCTCGTGATCCACCTCCCTCGGCCTCTCAAAGTGCTGGGATTATAGCTGTGAGCTCGGCCTAGAATGCTATTTTTAAAAATTACACTTTACTTTTGATTTTGCACAGGTAGTTCAGGCACAAGATAATAAATTCAAAAAGCACAAAAGGGGATATGGTGAAAAATATTTCTCCCTCCCATTCATATTCCCCCATCACCACTGTTCTGTTTTTTTTTTGGGTAGGGATGCTATTTTATAGAAATATGCTGAAGAATAAATGTTATTTTCATAATAACTATTAATTTTAGAATCAATGTGAGTCAAATTAGTTTTTCAATGCTGCTACAGAATTTTATTCTGAGGTACTTTGTATTTTCATTAATGTCTCAGTTTCCATGATATTGCTGTATTTTTTTTTTTTTTTTTTTTGAGACGGAGTTTCACTCTTGTTACCCAGGCTGGAGTGCAATGGCGCGATCTCGGCTCACCGCAACCTCTGCCTCCTGGGTTCAAGCAATTCTCCTGCCTCAGCCTCCTGAGTAGCTGGGATCACAGGCATGTGCCACCATGCCCAGCTAATTTTTTGTATTTTTAGTAGAGACAGGGTTTCACCATGTTGACCAGGATGGTCTCGATCTCTTGACCTCGTGATCCACCCGCCTTGGCCTCCCAAAGTGCTGGGATTACAGGCTTGAGCCACCGCGCCCGGCCGATATTGCTGTATTATTATCTTAAAACATCTTTAGAAAGGAAGAAAGGTATTTTTAGAAATCTAAGATACTATATTTAGAATCCTGTGTTTAAAACGTATTCAAACAAAACTCTAAATTCAGAGATAGACACTTTCTGTAACTTACATTTTCCATTCTTGCTGTATTCTTTCTCCCACATACTACTTCATCATGTTTGGTGGTGATATCTTTTCCTTTTCCAATAAAGCCCTTTTTAGGAGTGGGAACCGGTTTTGCTAAAGGCAATTAAAACAAGCCAGGTATATAAAAATAGCAAAGACTACATTGCTGCATTCAATGTTGTCTGAAAAGACATTTGAATCTAAGAGTAAATTACCAAATGAGAGTCAAAGAAAAATATAAAACTAAAAGACTTCATTGGAAAAATTAGTCTTCCTATACCTCTATTCTGCTGCCCCCGGAAAAAAAAATCTTTGGTACCTGGTCTGTAGGGATCATCACGAGTATCCTGCCAGTCAACCTCATCTTCAGAGCTATCGCTGTCTTCATAAGGATGCACTTTTCGATAATTTTCAAAGGAAATGGAAACTTAAAAAGCAAAAATAGTTGAAAATTTACTTAGGAGCACATTATGAGTGTTTTCTACCACTCAATGGAGTTGTCACAGTAAGGTTATAGTACCTTTGCTATCTCCATTGAATTTTTTTTCTTCACGCCTAAGCTGTGCATCATATTCTCTGTCAAATTCCATCTGTAGCATCTGAGCCAGCATAAGGTCACTGGAAGTATCAATGTTTTCTCCAGTAATAAATGGTCCTTCAGCAACACTATTAAAAATAAGGCAATATATACTAATACAATGTGCTTAAGTAAACAAAGGTTGCCAATTATGAGAGTAAGAGCTGCCTTTTCCATGTTAAAACTGAACAATAGGAAAGAACTCTATCAAACCATTCACCTTCTTCCGCACAGCTAGCCTTAAGACCAATGGCATGCACCTGTGGGAATACCAACTAGGATTAAGAGAGCTGGGAGAGAAAGCTGAAGGTTCTATAATAAAATCCAAACTGAGATCTAGAATTCATTTGTTCTGAATGAAAGTCTGGATGTTTCACTTATCCGTAATGAAAGAACAGATACATATTCGTGAAAAGAGAAACTATAAACACTTGATCAAATCTGTACCTCATCTAGTTCAACTGTGGCATTAACATGAAATAACCAAACCCCACAGAAACAGTGGTTTGTCCAAGATAATAATGAAAACCAATGCAGACTCTGGACCAAAATTCAAATATCAGTGGACTCTCAGCATGGTGCTTTTTCCTAACCACTTGTCATGACAATTACTCATCAAATCCTAAACGTTTGCTATAATAAGTTGCTAGATAAAGTGTTTTGTGAATTTTACTTACGCAACTTCAGGAAAAACAGCAGCTTCTTCTTCTAACTGCAATTCTTTGGCCAGCTGTTCACTCATTACATCAGCCAAAGAACAAGATATTGTATTTTGAGGGATAGCCCAAGGACACTATTAAAAAAGAAAAAAGAACAGCTCAATTCATCATAATGAAATAAAGTACCTCTCATTTTACAAAGAAGGTTATCTTTGAGGATTAAACTACGTAGTTAAAAACCTAAAATTAACAATTAGCTATTTGTAGAAATCATCTCAAAAGGAAAAATACTTCCCAGGTCAAATTTATTCAAGGATAAATGTAAACTAAAACAGCCCAAAGCACTTTCTAGCCAGCTAAGTAGGTAGATCCTTAAGGCTGAGGGGAAGCATCAAGTTTTTATAGCATCCCCCTAGTAGCCAAAGAGTTAATGTAATTCCTCTTGTTCCAATTCCTTGCTCACCAAGATACTTTCTGCTTATAATCTGATTTCCCAAGTAGATTTTCTTACAGGAATAGACTATACCAACTAGCACAATTTGAAGCCTAATGAAAAGTTATATCTCATTTTAATTTAAATGCTGAGCCATCGAAGTGTACAAATTATGTCAGCCCCTCTCAAGACATCTTAGAATATGCTAAAAACAAAAACAAAAACAAAAACAGGCCAGGCGTGGTGGCTCAGGCTTGTAATCCTAGCACTTTGGGAGGCCAACGCAGGCAGACCACTGAGGTCAGGAGTTCAAGACCAGCCTGGCCAACATGGTGAAACCCCGTATCTACCAAAAATACAAAAAAATTAGCTGGGTGTGGTGGCGCGTGCCTGTAGTCCCAGCTACTCAGGAGAATGAGGCAGGAGAATCACCCTAGCAGGTTAAGGTTGCAGTGAACCAAGATTACACCACTGCACTCCAGCCTGGGTGACAGAGTGAGACCCCCTGCCATACATATACACACAAAAAGCAAGAACAATCAACAAAAATTTTAGTTTTTATTTTATCTCTTTTTTTTTTTTTTTTGGAGACAGAGTCTCCTCTGTCACCCAGGCTGAAGTGCTGTGGTGTGATCTTGGCTCACTGCAACCTCCATCTTCCCAGGTTTAAGCAATTCTCCTGCCTTAGCCTCTTGAGTAGCTGGGATTACAGGTGTGAGCAACCACACCCACTAATTTTTGTATTTTTAGTAGAGATAGAGCTTTGCCATGTTGTCCAGGCTGGTCTTGAATTCCTAACTTCAGGTAATCTGCCCGCCTCAGCCTTCCAAAATACTGGGATTACAGGTGTGAGCCACCATGCCCAGCCCCAAAATTTTATTTCTGAACTTTAGAAGCTGAGAAACAGGCTCTTAAAACAACGCCAACACAACACAGTAATATTCTGTCAGACCCAGTTGGCCTTCCTCAGTGACATACCACTGCCTCAGCCTTCTTGAAATCAAACTGTAGGTTTATTTCAAATTCATAATTTTTGAGGGAGCAAGATGTTTTCCTCAGCAGCAGCAAATGATTATATTTTATAGCCTAGTGATTAAAACCTTTAATATTAAGATGTCTAAGCATCTCCTGAACTTGCCCAGTTCTTTCCATCCCTCTTCCATAATTCTACTCCAAGGTATCCCATTCACTGGGTTACATTCAGCGCATCCTAACGAATCTTTCTGCTCTCAATCTTGCTAGTTTCCATTCTCCACACCATAACACAATAATTGTTCTAAAATGCAGATGTGATTAGTTCCATCTCCTTACTCAAAATCTCTTTTATTCTTTCCCATTGCTTTTAGGATGAAGTCCATACTCATTCCTTAACTACTACTGAGTATCTAATTTAGAATATAGCATAAAATGATATCTGTTTTAGCCACAAAATGATTTGATCAAGTTCAGCCAGTGTAGGCCCTCTAGCTGGTCTAAAGACTTGTTTGTTGCATGACACTCAGAGACAACTGGGCAAGTGACCTTTGTTCAGGTTCCACAGTATTGACATTCAGGAATTTACTTGGCTCAGGCTGTTTGGGTGGAGCACCTTAAGGGTGACAAATGATAACTATATTTATGCCTGAGTGAGTAAGAATCAAGTTTTATCTAGTCTCACCCTAAGACTGAGGAAATACACTTGGCACCTAGCACACACCTACAAACACCATCACAGAACTATTCCAGCCTTCTATAAGGCCAGACTTGGAGAGAAGAGTCTTCCTGAAGGTGTGGTATGACTCTCATTCACTAGGAGCTTATCTGTATTGAGTGGAGAACTCTCCTGGTAAGGATTTTAAGGTCTAGAATCTTGAAGCTTTCTCTAATCTGGAGAATATAGCTAATTTTTTGGCCTCATGACTCTGCTGACTTCATCCTCTAGGTAGAAGGTACAATGGCATTTAGCCTAGAAATGTTTCATCTGATCAGTTGTATAGTCCAGGTTCCAAAAGGCAGATGACCGTCTAACTCAGAATTCTCAATCACGTTCGGCAATAACAAACAGTTTCATAACAGACAACATTTGAATATTCACTATACTTAAGATATTTGGTTACATATACATAACTTACATAGATTACACAACAATTAAGTAGCTGCAATCCATCCCCATTTTACGGATTTTAAAACTGAAATACATAAAGGCTTTTCTTTTAACCCAGGATGAGCTCTGAACCAAGGCAGCAGGACGCCAGGCTGCACCCTCAGCACTTTGCTATACAGCTTCCCCATCACCTCAGCCTGGAATGTGAGAAGCAAACTGCCCTACCGCCCGCAATACAAAAATCCAAATTCCCCACCCTGGGCAACACAGCAAGACCTCATCTCCACAGAAAAATTTAAAACTAGCTGGGCACAGTGGCAAATGCCTGTAGTCCCAGCTACTCAGGAGGCTGAAGTACGAGGATCATTGAGCCCTATAATTGTGCCACTGCACTCCAGCCTGGGTGACAGAGTAAGACCCTATCTCTAAATAAATAAATAAAATCCAAATTCCTCAGCAAGGAATGCCCTTTACAACTTGCTCTGATTTAGCTTTCCAATCTCAACCCTCATCTATTCTACACTCTAGTAACACTAATTATATGCCAAAGATGGCATACTTAGGCCTTGCACAGTGGCTCATGCCTGTAATCCCAGCACTCTGGAAGGCTGAGCCCGGCAGATCACCTGAGGTCCGGAGTTTGAGACCCGTCTGGCCAACATGGCAAAACACCATCTCTACTAAAAATATAAAAATTAGCCGGGAGTGGTGGCGGGTGCCTGTAGTTCCAGCTACTCAGGAGGCTGAGGCAGAAGAATCACTTGAACCCAGGAGGTGGAGGCTGCAGTGAGCTGAGACTGTGTCACTTTACTCTAGCCTGGGAGACAGAGCAAGACTGTCTCAAAAACAAACAAAAGAGATGGCACACTTTCCCCCCTGCATACCTCCACACATTCCTTTCTCTACCATTGGTTTTTCTTCCTTCTTTATTTACACCAATTAAATGTCACCTCCTCTATACGGTTGTCTCGATGTTACCAAAGTTGGATCCTTTCCTTTGTGTTCCCATAGCAGTATGCAAACAATGTTAATGCAGGGCTGATCACTGTATTAGGGTTAATGCATTAGCCACAATACGGCGTGACCCCCTGAAGGGTAGAGTCTTCTCATCCATCTTCAGAGCCCAGCATAGAGCTTCAGACACCAAAAGGCATTCCAGTATTTCCTGAGCAGTATGTGCCAAAAGCAAACACTGGAATGCTCGGCTGCAGAGGTCTGATGCCTTTCTACATCCCTTTCCCCTATCTTGGAACGTCTGCCCTTTTGCCTGCTCACTTCTGAGGCTTCAAGTCTTTTGCCATTTGTCAATTAATTCTGCTAAGGTATTAAAGTATTAGCTGACAATGTCTCAGAAAAGGCAAAAATGACAGGCAGGAATTTTGTTATTTTGAGGCAGAGAGTGACCTATTCACAGATACACTGGATCAAGAAGGGAAACATGTAGAGACCTCTAACAGCACCAAGGTACCCTCATGCCCACGCCTGCTGACCCTAGACTCTAGAGACTACACTACCCTGTGCCAGCTCAACTGGTTCACTTCACACTTAGGCAACTTCCTTGGGTGAGGTAAATAAGTAAAGATTTCAGAAAGGCTGTCACTCCCATACTTGGTAATCAAACCCAAACTCTTCAAGCCAACAGTTAAAAGCCCTCCATACACCTTTCCCAGGCTGTGAGAGGGACAGCTTCTGGGATGGGGGAAGACCCCTTGGGCTTTCCCTATAGACAGAAGCAGTTCATTATCCCAAGTGCTCAGAAAATTTACTGCAGGCTCCTCCTAAGAACAGGTACCACAGGCTGTATATAAGGGAATCCTCTGTCATCTGTGACTCTTCAGTAAACCGCTCTTTGTAAAAATTCTAATGAGATGGGGGAAAGGCCTTCTATAATCTTGCTCTGTCCTAGCTACCCAAAGTCATTTCCTACTATTCCACTCATCAACACAAACTGCCTACAGTGTCACAATCTGATGGGACACCCCATACAATCCTTTCCAGTTAGGGATTGTTCATCAAAGGACATTCATCAAGCTTTTAACCAGCCTCTCGGTTTTTTCTTTCCTGTTGCTAAATAACCGTAAGACCCACCCTGTTTTCCTCTCCTTTACAAAACCGCCACCACTGAACTCTGTTCCTTGGGGTTCTTCACTACTACTGCATTCTCCCCTACCTGGCTGGCTGCACATTAGAGGGGAATCATCTCCCTTTCCTTCTACTTCCTAAAGATGTGACCTTCGCTGCTTATACCATTTTTTTTTTAAAGGTTTACTGCAGTTAAGTATGGGTAAAGTATCAAGTAAAATTAAAAACAACAGCTGGGAGCGGTGGCTCACGCCTGTAATACTAACACTTTGGGAGGCTGAGGCAGGTGGATTGCTTGAGCTCAGGAGTTCAAGACCAGCCTGGGCAACATGATGAAACCCGGTTTGTACTAAAATACAAAAAAAAAAAAAAAAAAAAAATTAGCCAGGTGTGGTGATACACAACTGCAGTCTCAGCTACTCTGGATGCTAAGGCATGAGAATTGCTTGAGCCCAAGGGGCAGAGGTTATAGTGAGCCAAGACTGCACCACTGCACTCCAGCCTGGGCAACAGAGTAAGACTCTTGTCAGAAAGAAGAAAAAGAAAAAGGAGGAAAAGAGAGGAAAGGAAAGGAAAAGAAAAGAGAGAGAGAGAGAAAGAAAGAGAGAAAGAGAAAAAGAGAGAAAGACAGACAGAAAACCAGCAAACATGAAAGAGGCACACAGTAACAAAAATTCAGTCCTCTACTGGAAGCAGGTCAAGAGAACCATAACCTACAGGAAGGTCCCCTTTCTAACCATGCAGCTAGAAGACATGATCTAAGCAGAATATTTAAGTAAGTAATTTTTCAACTCAAGCGTCTCTGTAAAAAAAAAAGATCTGGGTCTACATAACAACACTATTCCATTAAAAATTTTTTTTCAGTTTTAGAATAGTCTTACTTTTATAGAAAAAAACTGCCAAGACAGTACAGAGTTCCCAAATACTACACACTCAGTTTCTCCAAACTGAGTGTTACAATAACGCAAGGTGTTAATAATAACACCTTGCATTAGTATCATACATTTGTCGCAATTAATAAACCAATATTGACACATTATTATTATTAACTGAAGTCCATACTCTATTCAGATTTCCTTAGTTTTCCCCTAACATCCTTTTTCTCTTCCAGGATCCCATTCGGAATACCACATTACATTAAGTTGTCATGTATTCTTAAACTCCTCTGAGGCTGTGAGTTTCTCAGACTTTCCTTATTTTTTATAACTTTGACACTTTTGAGGAATACTGCTAATTCTTCTTTTTTTTTTTTTTTTAAACAAAACTCTCTATCAACAGAGCCACACACTTCCTCACTTTTGTTTATAGTTTGCCAATCCTCCCTTCTTGGATTTCCCCTAAAATTCTTTGACTGTAAGAGTAGTTCAGTGGCCGGGTGTGGTGGCTCATGTCTGTAATCCCAGCACTTTGGGAGACCAAGGAGGTCGGGAGTTTGAGACCAGCCTGGCCAACATGGTGAAACCCCGTCTCTACTAAAAATACAAAAAAGTTAACTGGGCGTGGTGGCTATAATCCCAGCTACTCTGGAGGCTGAGGCAGGAGAATCACTTGAACCCAGAAGGTGGAGGTTGCAGTGAGCTGAGATCATGCCATTGCATTCCGGCCTGGGCAACAAGAGTGAAGCTCTGTCTCAAAGAAAAAAAAAAGTAATTCAGCATTTTGTAACTTGTACCCTCGTTCCCTGGGAGAAGGATCCACAAAACCCATTCAGAGGGTCTATGAAGTCAAAATTTTCACAAAAGTAGTAAGACATTCTTTGTCTTTTTAACTCTCCAAAGAGTGTGACATTTTCCAGAGTCTTCATCAGATGTGATGACATCATCACTCTGATGGCTAATGGAAAGTGTGCTTGGTATTCTCATATTTTCTAAAATTTTCTAAAGAGTAGATTTAAGATATAAATGCACATTTTTAGAGATTAACTCAGTTTTTTCTCAGTATTTCTGCCTTGCTCTTATTACTCATCTTCACTTATACCTGCTACCATCTAATTAGCAGTGAGGATGGATTTTCTTTAAATATTTCAATTTCACAACAGATTGAATGAAAAAAGAAGATAAAAGAATCCAAATATCTTCTAATAAGTCAGATGTTAGAGACTTGCAAAAATATAAAATAATGCTGTTCACTGATTTTGTTTTCAAAAATAGTTTTCTTTTGGCTAAGTGTGGTGGTTCGTATTTGTAATTCTAGTACTTTGGGAGGCCAAGGTACGAAGACTGCTTGAGGCTACAAGTTCCAGACTAGCCTGAACAACTCAGTAAGATCTCATCTCTATTTTTTTTGTTTATTTTCTTTTTCTACTTTTCTCACATGTTCTAGTCTACTTTTTAAAGTTTTCTTTAAATGTAAAAATGTTATGCTAACATATGACTTTTTTTTTTTTAAAGCCAGTCAAATTTAACAGTAGGGAGGTTTATATCAACTTTAACGATACTAATGTTAATAAGTTCTGATAATACACTACCATCGAACTACATGACTTTTAAATGACTTAAAATTTTTCTACTTCTCAGTTTTAATTTCGGATATGATAAATATCAATTGACATAATCAACATAAACAAAAGACGTTTGGGGTCCTCAATGATTTTTAAGAGTATAAATAAGTCCTGGCCGGCACAGTGGCTAATGCCTGTAATCCCAGCACTTTGGGAGGCCTAGGAAGGTGGATCACCTGAGGTTGGGAGTTCAAGACCAGCTTGACCAATATGGAGAAACCCCATATCTACCAAAAATACAAAAAATTAGCCAGGTGTGGTGGTGCATGCCTGTAATCCCAGCTACTCAGGAGGCTGAGGCAGGAGAATCGCTTGAACCCGGGCAGAGGTTGCAGTGAGCTGAGATGGCACCATTGTACTCCAGCCTCGGCAACAAGAGTGAAAATCCACCTCAAAAAAAAAAAAAAAAAAAAAAAAGTCCTGCTGGGTGCGTGGTGGCTGATGCCTGTAATCCCAGCACTTTGGGAAGCCAAAGTGGGTGGATCACCTGAGGTCAGGTGTTTGAGATCAGCCTGGCCAACACGGTGAAACCCCGTCTCTACTAAAAATACAAAAATTAGCTAGACCTGGTGGTGGGCACCTATAATCCCAGCTATTCAGGAGGCTGGGTCACAAGAATCACTTGAACCCAGGAGACGGAGATAAATAAATAAATAAAAATAAAAAAACAGAGAAAGAAAAAGTCCTAACAAAAAAGTTTTGAGAATCTTTCCATTTTTCAAAACCCTCCTCAAATCTTCACCTCTTCCATATAGGCTTCTGTAATCACTCTGGTTTTCCACAAGATTAGGGAAAAAAAGGATTAATGATAGTACTTTCAGCCTCTTTCTAATTGTTTTGCCTCTCAAAACACTGTCCTCCCAATAGAGAGCATCTATAAATCCCAGAAGCATTTTTTGTTGTACAATAAAAAAGGGATTTTATAGTTCTGATGATGTACACTTAAGTAAAAATATGTCTGTTAAGTATTTTATACTGAATTAGTTTTGTAAGTGAAATTTGTTCTGAATTTAGGATGTATTATGAATACAGTTTGTCTCATTTGACATTTTTAGCAGCCTTTGTCAATGCTTAACTGAAGGACTTTAACATATACAGTATATATTTATAATATTAGTTTCTGTCTACTAATCTTGACCTTGTAAACAAGGCCTTAAGGAAAAACACACAAAATAACATGCAGATGTAACCACATTTGCCAATGCAGTACCTCAGATTCTTCCAACAGTTGTATGAGAGCTTTTATAAAATTAACTTTCCCTTACTCAATAGCTAATTATTGACCTCTTTTCCTGTTAAGACCTGGCCTGAAGATCTAGTAAATTTCACAGGTAACCTTTTAAATGGGAACAAATATTCTGTGTTAGAATGTAAAGAACAATTATGAAGCTAGAAAAGCTAGATTCTTTCACGACCTTAATTTGTGAAACACAAAATCCCAATTGAAACCCTCTGCTCTCAAGCAGACCCTCTATAAAGTGACAGAAAAGCATTTTCATCCATATAATCAAAGTATCATGAAAAGACCTGCCTGGAAACCAGAAACCAAATGTGAAATAAACGTCTTTAGTTTGTCATTCTATGAAAAAGTTTAAACGTCAAAGCCTAGGCAGATAATAAAAAATTCATAACCACTTTACAGTCCGTGGTGTGCACTTGAATATTAGCGTCGAGGGAGGAGGGTGTGCCTGGGTTTTATCTTTTACTACTTCAAAAACAAGGAAGTTCCAAACTAGGATAACGACACTTGTCAAATTAAGGAAATACCTTCCTAAACCAACTTTCTATCCGGCTGGCTGTGTATTCGGCTGACTCAACTTGGCCCGTGAAAAACAAGATCGTGCTTGTTTCCCCTCTAGTGTCAGCGTGTGTAAGCCAGTCCTGCTCAGATACATGCTACGGTGATTCAGGAGAGAGAGCTGAAGAAACAGAGCCCTAACCACTCAAGGTGGCCTTTGGGAACCCCAGCCGCCCTCCACCCCTCTTTGTGGAAAGAGGGGTGCTCCCTTTCCGCATCCCTCTTTCCACAGCCCCGCGGCCAGTGCCCCCGCTTGCCGAGGTCGGCGGGGTCCAGCCCCAGAACCTCCCGAGTCGCCCACCAAGCCGCCTTCCCCGGGCCTTCCGAGAGAACCAGCCGGGGTGACCAACGCAGGTGTACTCCAACTTCGTCTGCCACTTACCTTGCTGGGTCCCCAGGCCGCTGCCGGCCCGGGCTCGGGCGATGCCACTCCTACCAGATCCATTGGGGGATGAAGGCAGCGACAAAAACAGAGCAGAGAGGAGGCAGGACGGGAAGCAGGCTCCGCGAGGAGACAGGCGGGGCAGGGGCGACTGGCTGCTAGTGCCGGAGCGGAGGTGACAGATGGCGGCGGCGGCCGCGTCCGGAACTGGATCTCTCCTCTTCCGCCCAACTCGCGGGGACAGTCGCTTCCGATTGGCCGCCCGCCCCTGGCTCCTCCTTAAGGCACCTTTCCCCGCTCGCGGGCGGGCCACTTCCGGCCGCTGACAGCCGGTCTCGGGGATGCAAGGACCAGCTGGTTGTCTCTCGGGGTCACGTTGCCGGTGTCGCCCAGAGCCGGGCAGCGACTGGGTGTGGCTTCCTTTGGCCCAGGCTCTGCCCTGTCCCCGCACTGCCATTTCCTTCCTTCCTCCTTGGCACCCGAGACAGCCGCTGGATCGAAACTGGATTAGACTTGTGGATTGTAAATAAATAAACAAACTAGGCTCTCTCTGCTTATTCATTATTTCCTGGCGTAATTCTAAACTGGGATGACTTGGGAGACAGAAAACGGCAGGTTTATAGAGGGAAAGGGCCTGGAGGGGACAGTCGGAGTTTGTGGTGGTGGTTGTTGCTGGGCGGGGAGTGGAATGCGGAAAATGTGTAAAATGTGTTACATAACAGTGAGCAAAAATAAGGCTGCATAATAAAAATTTTGATTCTGTATTTTGTAGAGATTCTAATAAAATGACCAGGTAAAAGATAACTAAGCATTGGATTTCACTTAGGATATCAATGCACTGTTCAAAATCTTCCATTAGCTCTTTAGCCCTCAAATTACCCTGAGAGCTAAATTACCCGACAGAATTATTTTACTGATATTGAAACTGAGGCACAGAGAGGTAAAGTAATTTAGTTGAGGTCACACAGATAACAAGTGGCAAAGCTAATAACGGATGAACCTAGGCAATTGGTTTGGGAACTGGCCTGGCTGTACATTATGTGTTGACTGTAAACAATACACTGTATGTCGTATATTCAGACATTCTAGAAATAGGTACTGAATGACTGTTTTCCCTAAATCTCAGTTCTGAGTCAGTATCTCTAACTGTCCATACTTGAGAGCCCTGGGTTACTGATCTTAATGATATCTATTAGTACACAATCTTTGCCTTCTTTCCATTCCAGGTGAAAACGTGTTCTGAATCCTCCAAACACTCCTACTACAATCAGGCAAATCATAGCCATATGATAGGGTGCAGACGTGTGCTTGGCAAATGTTGCCTATATATGTGAATGTGTGTGGAACATTAGTGTTCCTTCTTAGTGTTCAAAGGGCTGTAATTGGAGTATAAGTAGTTGAAGAAAAATGGGTGTAACTATTAATAGAAATGGACTTCTCAGTTCTGGTTAAGAAAAAAATAGGAAAGCCCAGGTGTGATGGCTCATGCCTGTAATCCCAGCACTTTTGGAGGCCGAGGCAGGTGGATCACCTTAGGAGTTTGAAACCAGCCTGGCCAACATGGTGAAACCCTGTCTCTACTAAAAAATACAAAACTCAGCCAGGTGTGGTGGCACATGCATATAATCCCAGCTACTTGGGAGGCTGAGGCAGGAGAAACACTTGAACCCTGGAAGAGCCAGACTCCGTCATAAAATAGAGAGAGAAGAGAGGAGAGAAGAGAGAAGAGAGAAGAGAAGAGAGGAGAGAAGAGAGAAGGAGAAGAGAGAAGAGGGAAGAGAAGAGAAAGAAGAGAAGGGAAGGGGAGGGGAGGGGAGGGAAGAAGAGAAGAGAAGGGAAGGATAGAGAAGGGAAGGGAAGGGAAGAGTAGAGAAGAGAAGGTTGAAGAATGCAGGAAAGGTCTAGGTCCAAGAGTTTTTAATACTAAGGATTTAAGAGTTTAGACAAGGAGTGGTTAAATGGGGAGAATAATGTTTCAGATTTGCTTACAAAAAACATAATTCCGACAGCTGTATAAAGGCAGATTGGAAAGGTGAAGTTGGAGACTTGAAAATCTGACAGGTGGTTGACGAGGAGGTTGCCCAGACTCCCATTGACCCTTTATTTTTTTATTATTATTTTTTTAAGACAGAGTTCTGCTCTGTCACCCAGGCTGGAGTGCAACGGTACGATCTCAGCTCACCGCGACCTCCACCTCCCGGGTTCAGGCGATTCTCTAGCCTCAGCCTCCCGAGTAGCTGGGAACACAGGCGCCCGCTACTACGCCTGGCTAATTTGTTAGTGTTTTTAATAGAGACGGGTTTTGCCATGTTGGCCAGGCTGGTCTCAAACTCCTGACCTCAGGTGATCCGCCTGCCTTGGCCTCCCAAAGTATTGGGGTTATAGGTGTGAGCCACCTTGCCTGGCCTCTGTGATCCCATTTATATGAAAAATCCAGAATAGGTGAATTTATAATGACTGAAAGCAGATTAGGGGTTGTTAGGGAATGAGTGGAGAGGGGATAATGGGGAGTGACTGCTTCATGGGTAAGCTTAATGGGGTTTTCTTTAGGGGTGATATAGGTGGTGGCAGCACAACATTGTGCGTTTGCTAAATGCTGAATTTTACACTTTAAAATGTTGATTTTATGTTATGTGAATTTCACCTTAATTTTTTTAAAAAAGTGACAGATAGTGGGCTATCGAAGGATTTTAGAGGCAGAGAAGATGCAGGCAATTCTGAGGTCAGAGGAAGCCATAACAAAGACGTAGTGAGGTTGAGGTTGGGAGGCTTAACGGACCAGGATAAAATGTCAGTGTATTGGACGGGTGATCTTCGTGGACCCCAAAATTATCCAGCAAGATGGCAGGACTTGAGGTACAGTGGAAGAGAATGTACAGTGCCACAGTCTTCAGATGATGTGCAGATTGTACCCAAGAGATTGGTAGATGACTCTGATACGGAAACGTACAGGTCTTGATAACAGAATGGTTAGAGACTCAAGAGAGACCTGTCAACCTGAGGGGCCAGGAATAACATTTTGGGAGCTTTGCTGGGGAGAGTGAAGAATGCGCCCCTGCCCTGGAGGGAAATGGATAGTTCCAGAAGACACTCAGGTTTTAAATGAGGCAAGAAGCAGAGCGGGCAGGCTGTGAGGACAAGGGAAGTTGATTAATCCCTTGTTATGGAATGGGTTCCCATGGGTTTTGTGGTTTAACAACTTGAATGGTGGCTTGTTGACAGTTAAGGTATATACCTGATGTCGTCAACTATGTACTCTGTAAAAACGAAGATAGAATATTTACAAATTCTACATTTACAAATATTGCTAATATGAAAAATGTGGTTTCCCAATAATAGCATTTAGTCCTATGTGATTTAATAGTGAGTTCTTGAATGGAGACATGGCCATTTTGCTGTCAAGCTGAGTAAGCACAATGTTTAGAGGCTTTGGCTCCAGCTCCGACTCCCTGTCTTCTCTGCTGATGAACTCACTGGTTCTCAGTAGGAACAAAACTATTGGAGAATTTGCCCTGTCTAAACACATGAATCAGCAGATTCTTTGGTCTCTACAGAGAACAGAAATAAGGCTCTTTAGCTTTTTGTTGTTGTTGTCTTTTTTTTTTTTTTTGAGACAGAGTTTCCCTCTTATTGTACAGGCTGGAGTGCAACGGTGTGATCTCGGTTCACCACAAACTCCATGTCCTGGGTGCAAGTGATTCTCCTGCCTCAGCCTCCCGACTAGCTGGGATTACAGGCATGCGCCACCACACCCAGCTAATTTTGCATTTTTAGTAGAGACGGGGTTTCTCCATGTTGGTCAGGCTGGTCTTGAACTCCTAACCTCAGGTGATCTGCCTGCCAAGGCCTCCCAAAGTGTTGGGATTACAGGTGTGAGCCACCACGACAGGTTGGCTCTTTAGTTTTTAATATTGAAATAAGTCCATTCTGCAAATAGCTGTTTCAGGCAATTAGCAACTATTTATTAACTACCTAGGATGCCCCCAAAGTTTTTTGGGAAAAATAAAGAATTGTTGAGATTGCACTTGGTGAGATAACAATAGTCACACAGTAACATTAAATAACAATAAAACACATCTATCTTAAAGATTGGATGATTTATTTCCAAATGACAGCTATAGACACAAACATGTCAGGATTCATTGTAGGGTAGTGAGATCTGGAAAGGCTGCATGGCACCAAAGTAGGTCATGAAGGTTGGGGAAAAGCTATAACGCTACTTTGCGTGGAAGAACAGCCTAAGACTAGCCATAGGGGCAGGAAAGCCCTTGTATAGCTAGTGACTACTGAGTATTTTCATAAGATTACTAGATGAAATGTTATGGATATACTTCAGTTAGGATTCAGCTGGGACTCAGCAGTTTTTAAGCCTAACTAACCCATTGCTATTTTTAATAACAAATATTTTGTTTTTCTCCCTTTATTGCATAATATCTTTTAAAATGGATATATAATGATCTGACTATAAGGAATAGATAAAAGTGAAATTATTTTTATTTATTTATTTTGAGACCCTGTCTCAAAATAAATAAATACAATTTGACCTCCTAGGCTCAAGCAATTCTCTTGCCTCAGCCTGCTGGGTAACTGGGAGGTGTGTGCCACTACACCTGGCTACTAGTTTTTATTTTTATTTTTTGTAGAGATGGGGTCTCACCATGTTGCCAAGGCTGGTCTGGAATTCCTAGGCTCAAGTGATCCTCCTGCCTTGGCCTCCCAAAGTGCTGAGATTACAGATGTGAAGCACCATGCCTGGCTTCTAACATCATTTGTTAAAAAGTGCCGTTTTTTGTTCATTTGATTGTCTTGTCAAAAGTCAATTGGCCTTAAATGTGACTGTTTTCATCCATTGGTCTATATGTGTATCCTTATGCCAGTACCATGTCTCCAGTGTAGCTTTGTAACAATCTCTGAAATTAAGAACGGTCAATCCTTTAACTTTGTTCTTCTTTTTCAAAATTTTTCACTATAAAGGGCCTCTTTAATTTCCATATGAATTTTAGGATCAGTTAGTTAATTTCTGATCCTAATTTTGATAGGGACTATATTGAGTATGTAGATCAACTTGAGGATTGTTGCCATCTTAATAATATCCAGTCTTCCAATCCATAAGCATGGGATATTTTTCTGTTTAATTAAATTAATTTATTTGTTTATTCAATTGGTCTTCTTTAATGCCCTTCAAAAATATTTTGTAGTTTTCAGATAATAAATTTTGCATTTATTTTGGCATTTTCCCTAAGTATTATATTTTTATGATATTTTAAATACAATTGCTTCCTTAGTTTTATTTTCAGATTGTGCATTGCAAGTGTATAGAAATATATTTGATTTTTGTATATTGATCTTGCATCCTGCATCTTGCTGGATTCATTTACTAGTTCTAACAGTATTTTAGTGTATTCTTTATGGTTTTTCTATAGATAAAATTTTGTCTTCTGTATTAGAGATAGTTTCATTTCTTCTTTTGAAATCTGGATGCCTTTTATTTTATTTTCTTGCCTTGTTGTCCTGTCTAGAGCCTCCAACACAATGTTGAATAGAAGTGATAAGGTGGTTATTCTAGTTTGGTTTCTGATCTTAGGAAGGAAGGCACTCTTCTTTCATCATTAGCTATAATGTTAGACTGTGGGTTTTCATAGAAGTCTTTTATGATATTGAGGAAATTCCC